TTTTAATTTTTCTAAAAAATTATTTTGATATAATAAAAATAATATCTTAATCATTTTAAAACCAAAATTTCACTTTGAAACACACCCAGAAAAATTGTTTTATATAAATTGTATTTATATAAAAATTAAAGTACAAACTTTTACAAGTTGACAAAATATATAGGTTTTGAAGTTTCTCTTAATTATTATACATAGATTACATGATATTTAAAGATGTATTACATATTTTTACAAATTTAATAATCTTTGAAATTTAAATAAACTACTCTTCCCCAAAATTAAAGGATCACCTATTCTGATCGCTAAAAATAGGCAAATTCCAAAAGAGTGTAACTTCGTCAAAAATGATCGTAACAAAATGATCCAAAAAGCATTTTATAGCTTGAAGTCTTTACTTTCGAAATCCATAATTTATTAAATGACTTACTGATTCTTTACAAAGCTGCACAAATACAAATGGAGATGCATCAAATCTAAAAATTTTGTACTAAGTTTGCGAAGTTCCATGGAGTGCAATAAAAATCGCATACAAATGCAACTTGCAGAGTTTGAAAGGATGAAACTTTACTTTTAATTTGCGTGCTCGATCAGCATTGTGCAATTTTTTTTCACCAAATTATTTAATATGGAAGCAAAAATGGTTCTTTTCACTTCAATGTTGAATAACTCAGTGAAAAAAATCGCACAATGCTCATCGAGTACGCAAATTAAAGATAAAGATTCACGCTATAAGTCGCATTTGTATACAAATTTTATTTTACTTTCTGGAACTTTGCAAAGTTTGTAAAAAAGATCTATCAAATATCAAAATTCTTTTCAAAATGTGAAAAGTTCCATCATCCGAATTAAAAACCGAACAAATAAATGAAATTTACAGTTCTCGAAAGAGTGAATCTTTAGCTTTAATTTAAGCACTCGATCAGCATTGTGTGATTTTTTTTTCACTGAGTTACTCAACATTGAAATAAATGTGATCGTTATGCTTCAACATTGAATAACTCGGTGAAAAAAAATCGCAAAATACTTTACGAGTATGCAAATTAAAGGTAAAGATTCACGGTTTTAAATGCTGTAAACTGTATTTGTGTGCGATTTTTAATTCATGGGAGCCTTACAAAATTCGTAACAAAGTTTGTCGCATTTTTATCTGTATCCATATAGCTTCGTAAAAGATCAAAAACATTTTATGTTACGAATTTTGCAAGGTTCCTTAACATGAATTAAAAATCGCACACAAATGCAGTTTACAGCATTTAAAAGTGTGAATCTTTACCTTTAATTTGCGTACTGAACATTTTGTGATTTTTTTTACCGAGTTATTCAATGTTGAAGCATAAGAATCATTTCTACTTTAATGTTGAGTAACTCGGTGAAAAAATCGCACAATGCTGATCAAGTGCTTAAATTAAAGCTAATGATTCACACTTTCGAAAATTGTAAACATTATTTATGTGCGATTTTAATTCGGATGATGGAACCTTTCAAATTTTGAAGAGAATTTTGATATTTGACAGATCTTTTTTACGAACTTTGCGAAGTTTCAAAAAATAAAATAAAATTCGCATACAAATAAGACTTATAGCGTTCGAAAGTGTGAATCTTTATCTTTAATTTGCGTACTCGATGAGTATTGTACGATTTTTTTTCACCGAGTTATTCAAGTAGTTATTGAAGACACCGAGTTATTGAAGTAAAAAGGACCATTTTTACTTCCGTATTGAATAACTCGGTGAAAAAAAATCGCACAATACTGATCGAGCATGCAAATTAAAGGTAAAGATTTACCTTTTCAAACGCTGCAAGT